GAGGAGTCTCAAAAAAGCAGACTAAGTTGCCTAGGATCATGCAGCCAGCATTACAAAGCTGTAGTGTAGTTTTCCTCAGAGAAGCTCAAGGCACTTAAAAAATCTCCTAGTGATTTTAGTCATAAAATATTATAATTAAGGCATAACTAGCTGCCTATTTTTGCCTTTCCTCGTGAATTGTCTTTAAAACATTCTGAGTTTTTGACATTAATGGCACAGTGATGGGGCCCTCGGAGGAGAGCGTGAGTGACAGAACATCACATTAACTCCAGCATGGTGGGGAATACAGGCACCAGTTCTAGAGCTCAGGCCACTGACCCCAGAAACACCTTTAGTTGAAGTGACTCTCAGGGTTGCTTGTGTTGAAGTTAGTCAGGAGAGCCCTTGCTACAGAGGTCACACATGTCCTCCAATCTGCACGTGAAGCCTTCCACGTCTAAGTTGCTGCTTTACTAGGAAACTTGTGCAGGTAGTGTGCCTAGAGGCTCTGGCTAGGTGTTTCTGCTCACTTGGTCATTAACTGTTTTTTCCTAATAAAATGAATATCAAGAGGCTTATAAACAGCGCTTTCTCTGGGTCCTCAAGAGGAGAACCAAAAGGAACACAGATATGCTCCACAATGAACAGGTAGATGGTAAAGAGGATGCCTGCTCTGTGATGTACAGCACAGATAAATGCATCATCAGTGGTTGCTGCGCAGTTAAATGGTTGCTGGTGATTTCTGGTGTACCCTTCAGGTGCTCACGGTAAACCCTTCAGTGCTATGTGAACTAGGAACGAACACTGTGTTTTTAATAAACTCTTCTCCCCAGACTTGTTAATAGTTAGCAAAATTACTTGAATTGTATTTCTTCTTCCTATCCCCAGATCAGATTCAAATTGTCAGGAAAATTTAAATTTAGACAAATATCTAAACTTGGACAAATAACTAGAAAATTGGGAGTTGACCGTGAAGGCATGTTTATGTTATACCTGTTTAAGAATGGATCCTTCATAGAATGAAGTTCCATGTACATAGGATTACATGGAGCATTCATTTGTAGAACATGGAAAGGATTTTCATACACAGTGTATGAAAAGGCAGACAGGTGTAGAGACTGAACATGTGTGTGTTTAATACTTTCATAAAAGCTGCAGTACTTTTCTACTTAACACCCCCCCACCCCCACCCCCACCCCCGTTTTACCATATAGCCCTCACTGACTGGAACTCATTATGTAGACCAGGTTGACCTCTCACTCACAGGGATCTGCCTGCTTTACCCTCTTTGAGTATTGGGACTAAAGGTGTATGCCACCATGTCAGGCTGTTTTAATCTATTTTAGTTGTTTTTATAACGTTCAGAAGAAGCTAGTCACCGTGCCAGCCACCCAGTAGGCGCCGTCTTCATTTGGGTGGAGGCTGGTGCTCTGGGAAGACTTCACAGTGCTCCTTGCTCTTGCCACAGTCTTCATCACTGCCCCCCACCCCAACAGTAAGCATTTTACTTCATTCTGATGGTGTTGGATGAGTTTTCAAGTCATCCGTCTTTCTTAAAAGTGTCATTTATTCATTTCCTAGTCTACTACCCATGTTTTAATTTCTCCTTCTAATTATGGATGATCCTTTCTGATGTTTTCTTCAAATGAATCTTAACTGTTTCCACTCACATAGTCCAGCATTTGGCAGACCTAGGGAAGACTGAACTGCTCTGCCATGGTTGCAGTGTTGACCAGCTACTGTATGTGCAGATCCATGTACTGCGCTGTACTAAAGCTTAGCTAGGGTTAGGCACGGGAAAGACTGAGTCCTTTTCCTGGGAGAGCAGAAGGAAGGAAACAGATGTGAAAGTAGCTCTGATAAGAGCACAGACCTGTGCGTCCTTCCTCCTTGGAAAGGTGCACGGTGGTTAACAATGGCCACTCCATACTCACAACTCACATAAGGAGGAGACGTACTGCTGCCAGAGGACCGCAGTAGGAGTAAGGACTCTGGGTTCTAGTCTCCTTGTCTCCCTGAGCTGAGAAACAAGGAGTACATTCTCTTTGGCTTTCTTATGTCCCTGTCTTCATTTTTTCCATCCAGTACTTCTTAGCTGAGTCTTGTAAGCTGCAGGTCCTGTGGCACACCATGTTTGCTGTCCCTCACATCGCTCTCCCCAGTTACTGTTAGTAACTAATATCCTGTGTGCTTCCTGCTAGAGAGTAGAGCAGTCTGAAATGTGTGCATTTGCATGGTGACTTCACTGGGCTCGGACAACTGAGATGAGCTGGTTTGTGCATATTTGTGCCTGGAGATCTGTGACTGGGAATTTTAGGCTGTTACGTTCTTTGTTTTTAAAATAAAAATTATGTCTGTAGTGAGGGGAAGGGCACCCTGAGAGCATCACTTGTTTCTTTGGAGATGGCCACAGGCCTGGCTGGTGTTTCCTAGAGGCTCTTGGACTTGGTCTTCTAGGGCTTGACTTGAGCAGAGAATTGGTCTGTGGTTTTGCCTCTGAAGATTTTTGTTGTCTTTTTTGTTGAAATAGCTCTCTTGGTCTCCAGTCAGTGTTTAGACTATTAGTAAATTATCAGTCCAATACATCCAGCTGATTTGTCTTCCTGTTTCTAAATTGGAAGTGAGAAGCAGCTAATTAACTGAATTTTAACCTAGCATATCTGAACACTTTAAAAATATGTGTAGTATATATACTGATGTCCTTTGAAATAGACCTATTTTTCAAGACCTTTTTCTATGTTGAATTAAAAGCAAACTGTATCCCATGTGTATTTTGTAAGTTGCCCCTGTGTGTCATACAGTATCTTGGTTTCATTTATAAATGCAAATAAAGGTACCTGTGAGACATGGTGTAGACTGTTACAGAATCAGAGATTGGCACAGCCACTTGGGAAGCTTTTCATTTCGAAGAGAACCCACACCCGCACACCCAAAGCCTAAGGATGCTGACAGAAATGCTCAGAAGAGAGCCCAGCAGCTTGCTGTTTGGGATTTTGTGTGTTGCCATATGAACCACGTGCTGTCCTTACATACTGTTAAGCTAGGCTGGCTTCATTTTATTTTGCTAACTGATGATCTTTAGACCACGGGCCCTGTCTGTCAGAAAAGTTGGGTAGGAGCTCCCTGGTTGGTGTGAGGATGAATGTGACCCACCACTTTCCCTGGTGCACAGGTGTTCCTTTCCTCGGCTGAATGCTGTCTGATTTTCATTCTTTGTAATTCACCTGTTTGGAGATTAAGAAAGCTCATTTTTATTAAGTAAGCTTCAAAACAGAATGAATATGCTAGGCTCTTCGGTAGGAAATACTGGCTAGCTCCCTTTATAATGAGCATTTAAAAAGTACCCTCTAAAATCTGGAAACTGCTTTCTGTCCTATATGGAATATAGAACAGTGCTGAAATATTCCTCCTTAATTTTGGTCTGAACGAACAAAAGTGTCTGTGTTTATCCCTGCCTAATGCATCACAAGTCTGCTGACACACTAACCTTGGAGTCTTGGCTGCCGTTAATCAGGCCTGTGAACCGGCAGGAAAGACGTACCTAACGCACTCCATCAGTGCACTTGCATATGGAAGCTCTCACAGGGGAGCTGCCCGTGCCAGCTGAGGGTTACCTGCCCACTGCAGTTATTGTATGTAATTATCGAGCCAATCTGTTCAGCCCAGCAGGGTTTAGATGGTAATCATGAAGCAACACTTTGGAAAAGAAAGATGTAAGGCATTCTCCCCTTCCCTCATCAGCTGTGTGAAGTTAGAACCATTCTCATGGCTGCGTTTGAGAAGCAGTACCTTCTTATACAAATCTCTTAAGTGGATGCCATAGCGAGTTCCTTACGGTTTAATCGTGTTGTTTCTGTGTGTGTGAGCCCTTTTCGTCAGGTACAGACTAGCTTCCTCTTGAGTTCTGACCTTGAACAGCCACCTTATACATGCCTTAAAACAGTGGGGTCGATGGTGGCTCACCTACAGCGGTTCTAAGCACTGGACAGGAAACGTGGTAGCTTGCACAGGTCGGCTTTGCTATCGAGGGCAGAACCTGTGGTTACCAGTAGAAAGAATGCTGTGCTGTCAGTGAATATTACCTTCTGCAGCGGACACAAAATGGCCCGCAGCAAGGAACACTCTGAGATGAGGTTGAACTTAATTGCTAGACAGTGTAAGTGAGGACGTCCTGATACATCGTGGTGTGGAGTCTGGGACGTGTCAGATCCTTTCCTAAATGATCCAGAATTACTTCAGGGAACTTAGAGAGGCTTTGAATTGGAATTCGGACTGCTATACATTTAACTTTGGACCTAACATAGAAGGCTACATGAAAAATATGTTTTATACTTATTGCCAACATCCCTCTATAAATACACCTATAGAGAAGTGTTAGCTCATTAAGTGACTCAGCACAGAGTTGGATTAGCTCAGTCTTGTAGAGGGTTTGTAAAGAGTGGAAGGCCAAGGAGTACAAGCACACTCTCCAGATGCCACAGCCAAGAGCATGGGAGATGGAGAATTTGAACGGCTTCCAGACAGTCGGGAGAACTTTGTGTGAATAAGGTCTCTTACAGCAATGTTTATGGACTCAAATATTTGCTAAGAAGCATCCTAAAGAAAAACTGGTTCATGGACAGAATTTGACACCAAATTTAGATTGCAGGTGTGAGGTGAGGTGTAAATCTTTCTGTTTCTCAGGCTCACAGCCTCTGCATCTTCCTCCATCCATGTTACACAGAAGAATGAGTATCACTGGCCTGTGGAGGCGGCAGCAAGTTGGTAAACATTTCATGTCCTGAAAGAGTTTCTTGATGAAGCGGGACTTAGTGGTAGACTAAAGCATGGGAAGGTAGAGGTGGTGGAAGAAAAGACCCCCCACCCAGGGACTGGAGCTGGAGGCCTTGTGCTCTTGTTCCTTCCCGTAGGTACTTCCATATGTTTTGAGACTCTCACACGTACATATGCGAATTTATGTATATCTGTGTATGTGAGCACCAGACTACATCTCTCTCTTTCAACTTTCTTTCATATGTAAGAAGCGGAAGAAAGAAGTGGAAGAAAGCACGGTGTGTAGTGTGGAAGACATGGAGTGCTCAGATGCCCAGGTGGAAGAGGCCATACAGACTCGTAAGTGAGGAACCTTGCTTAATCCTTTCTTAATACAGCTCCACATTGCACTTCCTCCCGCACGACAGACTAACCATGTGAGTCATAATGTTTTGATTTGATTATAGACTATTTTGTGGGTAGGATTTGTATTGCATAGTATGTATTGGAGTGCTTTTCATACACACACTGTACTCTTACCCTCCACTGCAGTCATCACTGGGACTTGGGAGGTGGAGACCAGAACTGCCTGTCAGGCCCACAGCTTTCCACCCCCTTACACCAAGCCACAAAGTTCATGGCGTGCTCAAGCCACAGTCCACTTTTCTGCTTCTCACCCCAGCCAGTTAGGAGGTGAGGGATTCAAGCTTGGAAGCTTCACTGTTTAAAGCAGTTGATACAAAAGCAAAGATTTGAAGTCACTTCTGGTTAGAGGCCGGTGCTGAAGGCATGCCTGTAAAGCCACAGTTAGAAATGGCATCAGCAAAGGCAGCATGTGTACAGGCCAGCTGAGCCTGGACTTTCTGTGTATTGGTGTCCCCATGGCGCTTTCCTGGACTGAGTGCTTTTTGAAGATTTCTTTATTCTTTTGCAGAGTTTTGTTTATTATTTGTTGGTCCTTGGGCATTTCTTAATTTTTGATGAATAGCCTTGTTTTAGGAAAAAATGTCATGGTAGCATAAATGCCCCGTTGACCTAGGCCTGCACCGTATTTTGACAATGGCTCTGGTAGATGTTAGAAAGCAACTTTTGAAAGACAGCCACCTTTATCCTGATTTTTAGTAGCATTTTCTCTATAGTACGGATCCAACATGGTTGGGTTCATCTGCATTTACTCAGAGAGTCCCTGGGATACAGGAGTGTGTCCGTTCACTATGGAGGCCAATGCTCTGCAGTAGTTCGCTTTCTTCCAATGCTGCCATCTCCCATCTGCTACTGTTTGTTTTTACTGCCTCCTTCCCTGTCTTGTTCATTTTGTTACTAGGAAGTGAGGAGTCCCAAGGAGCAGTACATGGAAGCATGTCTGAGCCAGAGGCGAGCTGCAGCAGCTCTGACAGTGAGTGGGGATGAACCCAGTAGCTCTGATGAAGACATTCTGTCTTACCTTTGAACACACCCTCCAGCTGTAAAGCAGCCTTGTCATCGCGGTTGATGCAATCCCGTGTTGTAGCAGGCCAGACCAGGAGTCGGTTGGTCCAGGCAGGTCCCGGTGTGCTTTAGTCAGACGACTCTCTTAGCTGCCCGGGGCTTGTTGGCAGCCTGCATGCTGCTTGATGAACACAGGGCTCATCGATTTGAGAGTGTGTGACTCCAAAGTCTGCATTTAACTGTGAACCCTTCTTGGTGCTGGCAGTTTTGGTATAAGATTGTAGTAACTGTAACTGGCAGTCTTTGGAGAACGTGTCACCGAGCTTAGGTGGGACTCCTGATTTAGGACTGCTCGGATTGCTTTGCTGTAATTTTTTTTTTCTTTTTAAGACAGGGTTTCTCTGTGTCACAGCCCTAGACCAGGCTAGCCTAGAACTCAGAGATCCGCCTGCCTCTGCCTCTTGATTAAAGGCGTGTACAACCATGCCTGGTTCTATGACTTTTTAAGAATAATCAGATTCCTCTGTATTCATGCAGACTCAGAATTACTTTGCTTTTTTTTTTTTTTTTTTTTTTTTTTTCCTCCTTTGAGAGGGTCTTACTATGTATCCCTGGCAGGCCTGTAACTCTAAGTAGCCTTGGGTGACCTTGAACTCAGAGATCCACTTGTCTCTGTTCCACCCCCCACAGTTGGGATTAAAGGAGTATACCACTCTGCCCAACATTTGCCTAAATTTTGTTTTGTTTTGTTTTCTTGTTGTAGGCCCTTCCCCCTCCCAGAGTACATGGTACAAGGGTAGTTATTTTACTGTCAGAATATTCATAGGGAGAAGTATTGCCTGAGGTGGTTGGTAAATGTTATTGATTCTAGAAAGGGCAAAAACGGAAAGAAAGAAAGAAAGAAAGAAAAAAAGAAAATAGGCCAAGGGTCATGTAAATGTATACATTTATATTTATCAGTTTAAGTCACTTGATGGAGAGGGCATATTGCTGCCTTTGAGTTTTTAATATTTTGAGAAATATGATAAATTCCGTGAATTTTGTGGTTTGGGGCTTTAGTATTTTGTGTCATAAATGTGTTTCAAGAATGACTGCCTTTAACAGCAGCTTTAGAAATGTCAGTTTCTTCATTAACAATTTTATTTTCAAACACAATTTATGGTTTACAATGTGGTAAGAGACTTTTCTCACCGTGTGCTCTTTTAGAATGCTGTGCCTTGCAAAATGGGAGCAACTTTCCTTTAATATCTATTTAGACCATTTTAAAACCGTGTGTAATTTTCTTGATACACCTAAACTCATTTTGAATAGTTGGGGGTCTATTGTGTGGGAACACACTCTGAAAGCTTTCTGTGTGTTACTGTGCAGGCTGTGGGAGAAAGAGAGGGTGACGGGTGGTACCTCAGAAGAACAGGGGCCTCTAATCCTTTTATTTTTATGCAAGGCATAATTTTTACCAATTGAGAAAATTTGGTTATTTGCTGCAAGTAATTTTTCCTCTTACAAAATGATAAGCCTTAAAAACCATGTATATTCTCGTATATTAAAACCATGCCAATATTTCAGAAGTGTACTAAAAATTAGTTGATGTGGCCATGATCCTTATGGCTTGTGTGCTTGTCCCTGTTGGACAGTGGGGACCGGTCTTCCGAGGGGATTTAGTTGTGAAGTACCGGGGGCTGGGACAATACCAAACAGTCAGGGACCAGATGTCTCCAGGAAAACCCTACTGGGAGACTCCCCACGCTCACCTAGTTATAAAACGGCAGAAGGGTTTCCCTAAACTCATGTATTTTATTTTTCAACTCTCAGATTTTACACGTTGGTTTTATGATTAGATCTGTTGCTAGCAGTGCTGTGTTGTGAACATGGTTGTATTTTAAAGAGACATGAGTATAGCAGAACTGATCTGAATTGCCCTGTGCAGCAGAGACTCCTGGGTGACGGTCGGTTCTGAGTCTTCAGATTCCAGGAGGCAGCAACATTCTGAATTGCAGCAAGAAATGCTAAGTCTAGACCACAGAGGTATAAGCAGCGATATTTAGCTTAAGAATGAATTGTCAGATTAGGACGTTTGTAAGAGAGCATTGCTTGAATACCGCGTGGCAGTTACCTCAGTGTCCACCGTGTGTCTTCTGACTCAAGCTCATCAGAAGTGAGCTGTTTGGTGCTGTTGATTTTGAGATGGCTGTCAGGACAGCCTCACAGTTACAGCATTTTTCGTTTTCTTTAAAATTGTAGAAATAAAAACCTCAAAATATACCGTGGAAATTTTTTTTTTTTTTTTGCAATATCAAAGCTTTTCATTTCATCCTGGTTCAGTCTCTTTAGCTTATTTTATTAGTGTAGGTTAATTGTTGATGATAAGGGTTTGTTGTGGTACTCATGTGTTTGTTCACCACACTCCCACATATGCCTTTCCTCTTCCCACCTACTCCCTCTTCCACTTCCATGTTTTCATTTGTTTACTTACTTCGGTAGCTAGTCACTACCCAGGGAGTTTCATTAGGGTTCCTACAGGGTTGTCCTGGTTGAGGGGTAACTTAGAGGAGCAGGGGTCCTTAACCACCACCCCAGCAACCATTGCTGCCTGTATGTACTCAGAGGGGCTGGGCTTTGTGAGTCCCTCTAGCTACCACTATATTACAGTTAAGAATCACCCAGATTGTTAGTCAACCATTGTGTCCCGGCTGTGCGAGTGATGGGATGGTGCTCACAAAAGTCTTATTAAGGTTTGCTGTGACTGAACTGAACGACAGCTGAACAGAAACTAACTGAAAAACTTTAAATTTAAAACTGGTTTTCCAGCTAAGTCACTAAAACCGCCCATAATCAGAATACCTTTAGAAACTATAATTACTGGTGTGGGATTAGAGATTTTGTCTCAAATTCAAAGAAAATTCTGTTCTTTTCCAAAAAGAAGTTACCTATTGACTGCCAGGATGCCCTCAATCCAATGTTGTGGGTCATTATGGCCCAGAGAGCTTGAGGCTGGGGAAGAACACAGGCCAGTGCTGGGCAGTGTGGTCAGGCTGGGCCAGTGCTGGGCAGTGTGGTCATGCTGAGAGAAGAACCCCTGGGAGGTGGATAGGAACCGTCCCGGGCCTTAGAGCAGGATTCGCTGTGGGTGCCAGCAGGGGGACTGTCCTGTTAGCACAGCTCAGTGTCTTCCTCCGTGAGCATGGGGAGTAGGTTGTGAAAGGCAACTCATAAAGCAACCCCTCTTCCTTTGTGCCCGGTGTAACCCAGGGCATCCCCTGGGAAGGGCAGACTCAGAAGTGCATGTTTCAGGTTGTATAACACACACATGGTGGGGAGAAATACTGGGATGTGTTTACTGGTTGAGACAGAAAGTAAACTGACAATTCCTAGACTTCCCAGCTACAGTTAGGCCCTTGTCGAGCTCATCTCCACAGAGATCAGTCAGTCAGACACGAAGAACAGATTTGTGTTTCTGACCCCTTGCTTTTGTGAGGTAATGATTACTGATGTGACTTTCTCTGATTCCTTTTCAAGGTTCAAGAACCAGAAAGAAAGCCCAGAAGTAAATGAGATGCCAGGAACCGACTTTCTGCCTATTCATTTGACTTTTTTCTCCTTTTCTATTGTATGTTTTATTTTCATGTGAGTCTTGTGGGGTTGTAGTAATAATTAAATGGCTATTTTTTTGAAAAACAAACTTTATTAAAATGAATGTTTTGTGTACTTTATTGCAGGGTAATCTCTAAAATCCCCGAGTCTTTAGTCGTTACAACCTGTGTGGTTTCTGGGCTTGGGAGTGGGTGCGGCTCTGCCTGCCATGCACTCCTCAGAGTGGGTGGAGTGCTTGGCAAGCTCCTTGCTTTTAGGGAAGTGCAGAACTTCAAAGAAAGGAAGTCTCTTTTGCTCGATGTAAACATGCAGTTTGTTATGATAATAAAAGTCTGGTCTACATGGATTCTGTTATTTTCCACAAGCATTAATTGAATACCTGCTGTATGCACTAAGAAAGAGTGCAGTAAATACAATGTATCTGTGAGAAACACACACATTTTAAAGTCAGATTCTGTAAGAATAGTATGGAAGATAAATGATAGGAGAACAGTGAACAGTGATCAGTCACTCAGTGGTGGCAGGACCAAGATGATAAGCCCTTCAAGGAAGTCCTGTGAGCAGGGTGTACAGAACCTCCTGGTTTGGGTCTGAATAGTTATGGTGCCTATAGACTCATGTGTTTGAATGCTTGGCCCATAGGGAGTGGCATTGTTAGGATGTGTGGCCTTGTTGAAAAAGTGTATGTGTGGAGGTGGGCTTTGAGGTCTCAGATGCTCAAGCTACGCCCAGCGTGGGAAACAGATTCCTGCTGCTGCCTGCAGATCAAGATGTAGAACTCTCAGCTTTTCTCCAGCACCATGTCTGCCTGCATGTTGCCATGAAGATGATGGGCTAAACCTCTGAAACTGTAAGCCAGCCTCAATTAAATGTTTCCTTTATAAGAGTTGCTGTGGTCATGGTGTCTCTTTACAACAATAAAACCCTAACTAAGACACTCCCCCACTTAGATTGTTTTTCTTACAAGTTTCATTTTTGTAGAAATAATTTATAAAACAAACCAAGTTCTCTAGAAGTTTTTGTGGATTTGTTTTTCTGCTTTTCTGAGTCTGACTTACATAGCCCATTTGTCCTCAAACTCCTGACCTGCCTCAAACTCTACCCCCCAAAGGCTAGGAATATTGGTGTGTGCCTGCCCTACAGTAGTTGCAGAGAATGCAGTCATGTACCTCACACTAGCTGCAGGGGTTACAGCTGTGCACCTCACACTAGCTGCAGGGGTTACAGCTGTGTACCCCATGATAGCTGCAGGGTTACAGCTGTGTACCCCACGCTAGCTGCAGGGGTTACAGCTGTGTACCCCACGATAGCTGCAGGGGTTACAGCTGTGCAGCCCATGCTAGCTGCAGGGGTTACAGCTGTGTACCCCACGATAGCTGCAGGGGTTACAGCTGTGTACCCCACGCTAGCTGCAGGATTATAGCTGTGCAGCCCACGCTAGCTGCAGGGGTTACAGCTGTGCAGCCCATGCTAGCTGCAGGGGTTACAGCTGTGTACCCCACGATAGCTGCAGGGGTTACAGCTGTGCAGCCCACGCTAGCTGCAGGGGTTACAGCTGTGCAGCCCATGCTAGCTGCAGGGGTTACAGCTGTGCTGCACCCCACACTAGCTACAGGATTACAGCTGTGTACCCCAACTAGCTACAGGGGTTATAGGTGTGTACTCCCATAAAATGCAAGATTTTTGTGATTGGAAAATTTAAAATGTAGAGTTTTCCAAGTTCTTTGAGGAATAAAGCTAGAAAATTTAGCATATTTATGAACAATTTCAAGAGACATTTCTCAAAAATCGTAATGGGTAAATGAGTTGCTTTATTTACACATGTGTAGTGTGTTTGGTAGTGTGGGCAGCTGTGGTGTATGCTCGGTATAACTGGCACAACCTAGGGCAATCCTAAAGTCATTATCTCAGTCAAAAGACCGAATTACTTTGAAGACAGTACTGAGTAAACAGTGGTGCGGATGGACAGCAGTACAGAGCTGTGACTCTGGCTCTGTGGACTGTTGAGTTGTAACATGACATGGTCATCATTGGGACAGGTGCTGTCAGAAGTGCAGAGCGGAGCTGCAGCTCCCAGAGGCTTGTACGTCAGTGCTCCCAAGTTAGAGCTACAGGTCTAGGAGGAAGGAATTCATTTGGGGTAGAGAATGCTGCTTTCCTTAGAACACAGGATTGTAATACTGAGCAGTGTGTTCGTCCTAAGTCTATTTGTAACACCTAAATCGACTCCCAAGTTCTGTTTTAAACACATTGATGCTTAAAATAGGCTCAAATGTGTGTGATGTGTTTTTGTCTGTGCTGTAGCCTTTTTTATTTTTTTTAAAACACAAAACACAACCTGTTGGTTAAATATTAAGAAAACAAATATTTGCTCACATATTGTTTTAAACAAGTGCTGACATTTTCTCAAATGTTACTATATTGGCAGGGCTACATAAATTAGTGAAGAACTACTAGCCAGAAGTAGCCCGATTGATTACCATCAGCCAGCTGGGTCCCTAAGGAGTACGGTTCTTCTCCGCAGCTTGAGTCACACCAGCACCTACAGTTGTTGCTCTTATCTGCCTGCCCATTTTGGTTCCTTACGTTTTATCTTCTTGCCAGTTCCTGAGGGAGTGGGTTTATAGTCTCTCTTCTCCCCTCACAGCCCAGCGTCCACACTCGAACCCTGTGCACTTAGTTCTTGCTGTTTTTATTACACTTTGTCCTGTCCTCGGTGATGGGGTAGTTTCCGGCCCCTGAGGATCACCGCCTGTGCCTTTGCAGACCTGAGCTGCACAGCACTGCCTCCGTGTGGGGGTGCGGTTTGTCTTTGTGTACCTGGGGACGCGCTATAGAGTGTTATATTTCTTTTTTATGTTGTATATTGCAACTATTGGAGGGTTTTAATAATACTCAGCCATTGTAGAAGATTTAAAATATACAGAAAAATGTCTTAACTACCACTCTCGGGCACTCACCGTTCATAGTCACACTTTATTTTGACTTTTTATAACTTTAATATTGGACTTGAGATTCTTGCCAGTGTTTCACATTATAAACAATGCTCTTGAACAAGATTGGGTGGAAATTGTTGTCAACATCTGTGACCAATTTCCTAGATTTGAAAAGTGAACACTAGGCCGAAGACTGTGGGAGTTGCTGAACTGGTGTGTGCTCTCCTGTTGTTCTGTCAAAGTCTGTCCATTAGCACATTGCCCTGGTTTGCCCGGTCTCCATCTTGATGGCATCTAATGCTTTGGGCAGAACGTTTGTGTCCCATCTGCCTTCTCCCTGAGCCACCCTGTCCCCCACCATACGTTGAGGTCTGATCTCAGGTGTGAGTGTTGGAAGGGGGGTTTAGGAAAGTAATGGGGTCACCAGGGTGGGACCTGCTGACTGACTTACCGTTGCCTGTAAGAGGAGGCAGAAGATGTGGTCTCTTTCCTATGGATGGCTTCCCAGGAACAGTATCTACACCTTGGCCTTGGACCTGATGCCTGTTGTGTAAGTCACCAGCCTCTGGGTGTTCTTAGCCTCAGCCAAGACGTGATTGCTTTTCTTGGTCAGGTGAATTTGTTGTTGTTGCTAGCTAAGCAGTTCTTTATTTGTAAATTAGCTGTTGTGTCTTCTGGTCAGTGTGGTGTTTGTGTATATTGCTAATAGAATAACGACCAGAGCCATTCGCTGTGGTTTTGTTGTTGTTGTTTCTAATTACTTTAAATTTTCATAAGGATTTATTTGTATGGCTTTAGTCTGTTGCTTTCCATTGTCATTTCTGCCAGTATATTAAAATATCTTGTAACCAGAAATCAGAAATACTTAGCATGACTTTGGTTGTCACGTTTCTGAATTTGCAGTGGAGTAGATTTGTTGTGGTGCACGGATGCCATTGGGTGAGGCTCACTAGTACTCTAGGAGCATCCGTCCGTCTGTCCGTCCGTCCGTGCAGTAGCCCCTCCCTCTGCTTTCCTTGTCCAGATCAAGTTCTCATCTCATCTTCTCTCATCTCAGGTCTGGCCCTGACTCGGATGGCTTCCACAGGTGGGTTCTTAGGCCAGCGTCACCCCGATGGTGAGTGCCCCCGACCTGCTGGTTCTTGTTCATTGTCCAAATTATATGAACAGAAATAAAAGTGGGAAAATATTAGCTTATTTTTACCACCACTTGGATAAAAAGCCAAACTCTTGGGCCAGTGAAATGGCTCAGTGGGTAAAATCTCTTCCGCAGCAAGCCTGGTGGCCCGTGTTTGATCCCCAGAACTCAGAGAGAACTGACTCCACCAAGTTATCTTCTGACTGCCACATGCACATACCTGGCACACCTCCCCCTCCCCCAACAACAAAGTTTTCAATCTCCAGCTCTTACCTTGGACTGTGACTGTGCTGTTCTAGTCTTTTTCATGCATATGTACCACTTAATACAACAGTCGATTGGATAATGGCTTTTAGTGTTTAAAGGTTGATAGGGCCATTGTGTAACACACTCTCTCTCTCCCTCTCCCCCTTCTCCTCTTTCTCCTCTCCCCTCTCCTCTCTCTCTCCTCTCCTCTCCTCTACTCTTCTCTCTCTCTTCCTCTCCTCCCTTCTCCCTCCCTCCCTCCCTCCCTCCCTCCCCCCCCTCCTCTTTCTCCTCTCTCCTCTCTCCCTCCCCCTTTGAGCCTCTGGTGCTCTCCTGAGGTACCCTGGAAGAGGAGTTGGCATTGCTGAGCCATCTCTCTAGCCCACAATTTTCTTATTTTTAAGGAAACTGTTACCCCGGTGATGTAGGCATTCTTTGTATGAAAGTGATCCCTTTCATGTGCTTTCATCCAAGAATGGAAGCAGACCCCAAGTCCCTGTTTGTACCTTCCCACCCAAAGCTGTGGCTGCCTCAAGCTCAGGCAGGAACTTGACCTTATACACCTCTGAGACTTCAGAACCAAGTTCCAGCAAACACTCAACTTACCTAAGTAGAAAGAGGAAAGGGAAGGAGATGGCCCTCAGTAGAGAGCTGTTTGTGCAAACCTGAGTTTGACCCCTCAACACTCACAGTCAAAGCCAGCTGTAGTGGTTGTGTTCGTCCCCCCAGTCAGTGTGTGTGGGGGGCTGGGGATACCTCTGGGGCTCTCCTGCCAGTCAGTCAAGTCCAGTCACAGCTCCAGGTCCAGTGAGAGACTCGTTTAGGAGGGTGCCTGGCTGACTTCGACCTCTGCGTGCGCGTGCGTACACACACACACACACACACACACACACACACACACACACACACACACACAGAGGGAAGAATTTTCTGTGGTTATTTTCAGTGATTGCTAACAGCTGAATTTGTTCAATGCAGAAGTGCTCCTACTTCTCAAGCTACATTACAAATTTAGGAATGCTCAACAGCTGCTAGCTGCTGCAGCCATAGTAAAGTCAAGATGTGTCTTATGTCCAGCACTGATAGGCTGGACCAGATGTGTATGTAAACACCTCTTGACAGCATTAACTTTGTAGTGTCTTCTTGTGCTTTAACTCCAGTTCCAGGGGATCTGATGCCCTCTTCTGGTCTCCTTGGCTACCCGACACACATAGTGCACAGACATACATACAGGCAAAACATTCATAAATATGAAGATAAGAACTTATAAAAATGGGAAAATTGCTCAGTTTAACTTTCTGACCGTGGTGAAGATCAGTACAGAATTCAGGGTGGCCCATCTCATAATTCTCAAATCTGAGAGAGGTGCTACAGGTGTCCTCATGCTTTCCCCATCAGGGCCAGTGCACTGTAGGCCTTAAAGCGTCAGGGCACCTGAGCACTGCTAGTCTGAGGACTGGAAGGTCTTGGGGCAGTCTATTGGCAGGGCAGGTGCGGCTGGGAAATGCATAGTGGTTCTGTTCTACTGCCTGGGAAGAGAGGAGGCCCGTGCCTGGGAGGAGTGGA